AACATAAGCCATTTGAAACACTTTCTTTCTACGAAAAATGAGTAAAAATACTTGTATGTTCTCTGGGATACTGTAAATGCTATAAAGTACACTAAAATCCAAAAAATGGAAAATTATGTAAAATAAACCAGTAAAACACAAAAACTGTTTAGTGACTAAAACTAACCATTTAACATTGAGTATCTATAAATACCATTACAAGACTTATAAAAATGATTTGTATGTATTCACAATAAAGAACTATCAAAACTTTCTTGAAAGAAGGTCTTATTTGTGTTTCTAGGGCTGAAAATGTCTTCACATTAGTACATATAAGTCACATTTACACGTTATAATCACACCATCGAAAGTAATTTTAAGGAATGCAGAAAACTGGTATGTTCAAATTCTTTCTACAGATACAATTTTCAAGTACCAGCTCTTTAACAGTATGTTCAATTAATGAAATAATTACACAGGCATTTAAAATGCACCTGCAATCTTGAAGCCTTACAATTCAGCCTACCTTGAAAGAGGAATGGTCATTGTCTAACAGTGGTTTCTGTTTAAGAACAAAAACAAAGCAGAGAATATAGTCAATACCCACTCCTACCCTGCAAGCCAGGTGGAATTTAAATGGCAATTTGATGTTCTGTTTAAGAGACAGCATTTGAAAATTTGGCCTAGTCACAGAAGAAAGACAATCAACCAAAAGAAACCAAAAAGAAAAGTGGAGGACCTAAGACACTTGCAGCCTTCTCAGTTCTTACACTTACTCTCACACTTCCACACCGAGGGGAAAAACCAAACAAACTATGATGAATTATCTAAAAACATTTATTTTTAATTATATTAGAAATTAATTAACATGAGTATATGAACATTTGAAGAAAAAAAAAGAGAAATAGCAGCAAAGGGAGTTTTGAGATGAGGGAGATAAGTCCTTCATCTCCCTGGCTCCTGAAAAAGAGAGAGAACACATTAAAAGTGTTGAAAAAGCTTTCCACTGCCCTAACTGTACCATGTTGGGAAAGACATGCAATTTTTACTGTTCCTCAAGCACTCATGATTTTGAATATGTGGTTAGATATTCAATTAATAATATCTGAGTATAGCAAGCGACACTCACATATGCCAATGTATTTTAATTCGTCTGTTTCCAAATGCTACAGAAACCACGTTTCCTTTAACACTTACAATTCCTTTTCCAACTTCTTTCATACCATTGTCTTGTTTGGCTGATTCAGAAAGGTTTTGAAACCTTTTCAATTACTGTCCTGTAGTAAAGAAAAACAAGTATCACGAAAGGGCACTACATACTCAAGAATAAGCTGATAAATTCAAAATCATACTAGCATAAATGAGGAGAACACCCACACAGAGACTCAACTGACCTCTGCTCAGGATTCCCAGTGTTTTCAAAGTGTTAGTTAGAGCTGCCCACCTCACACAACATAAATCCTGGTTTGAAGAACTGTTCAGTAGTGAGTTACCTGTTAATTTAAGATTCAGTTCCAAAAGCTGCTAATCAGCACATCGCCAGCTAGGCGCCGATTTTTTTTTAGCGGAAAACATAGGGTTAGCATTGTTCTCCTTGAAACGTAGTTTTTCAATACTTTTCTCTTACCAAGTGTTTTCAAAGCACATAAGTCATAGGCATGGTCCTAATCCTATACCTTCTTACACTGTTCTTGACTCCCCACAAGTTAAGACTACAAGTCATAAAACCTGTAACCTTGCTACATCAACAAAAACTGGGGCCCATATTTTTTCACACACAGACTTCACAAATTCCACCCAAAGTCACTGCTTTACGCTTGTGAAAAATGACAACCTGATGACAACTTTTATCTTTTTACTGTATTGCTTTAAATATGTAATGCAAATCGATTACTTACAAGGATACCCTTCAAGAATTCTTCATTAAGCCTGATGTCTTTTGCTCTCATCTTCTAAAATACTGTGCCTGGCGAAGATCAGAAAACCTTCTTTCTACATAGAAGCGCTGCAGATGCTGGAAACTATCAAAGGAGTCGACGGTGTGAGTGCTGTAAAAGTTGCTTTGATGGTATTTCCATTGTTTCCTGCAGACAAATCTCCATCATCAATTCCACCACAGTGAAATAAAGAAATGATTTTTGAACCCAGACCTTTGTGAGTGGTTTCTTCAAACATAACATAACACTGTAAGCTAATCTGCTATTTGGCATTCATTTATATATATTTGCTCCGCAATTTCATTGTTTCAGATGCCATTAGAATGTGCCACCTTTGAAACAATGGACAACAGGAATGGGATGAAGTGTGAATGCTTATTGCAGACAGAGCTAATAATATTTCTTTTGAATGCCATCAACTGATATTTTTCTATTCAAATGCCGCTAAGACTTGATGCCAGGTTACAATATTCTGTGTTGATGATATCACAGTTATTCTGTATCTGAGAGGTGGTATTAACATCTAAACTGTTCAAAGGAGGAAAATCCTATATTTGTATTTGGTACTGTAGCCCACATCAAAACCCAAAGATCAGTATCAACACATACAGAGGGATTACTTTATATTGATTACCATATCAAATCTAAGAACAAACCAACCGCCACCCCTAGCTCACAACTGACACTTGTGTGACACGGTCAAAGTAATATTTATTAATGCAGAAGAATTATTTATCTTGTCATTCCCATTTCACTATGAAAATTTAGCCTGCTTTATTCTTAATTTTGTACTTTCTCTCAGAGGATTTTTGCATCAGGTTTTTAAAATTAAACACTGTCCACTTTAGCCTTCACTGAAAATCCCAAATTACTCACTAAATCAAACCCATTTCCTAGCAGTAAAAAAAGCTTAGGAGCATGAAACTTTAAAATCATGTATCTAGACATTTACAGATCTTAGGTTATGCATGTGTTCCTTAAGTATCATATAATTTTAAAATTCTCCATCCACAAGAAGCTATCGATAAACAAATCAAAACAAAAACTGAACTGAAAACCTTTTAAAAACAAGGTTTTCACGAGACACATAAACTTTTCATGAACAGTTAAATTTGTTATTTTAAAATATTAACTTTGAAACTCTAATGATACCTATTTTCTCTAGTGATGATGAGAATTATGACCAAAATTGTTTCTTTTAATGTTTTATTTTTAGAGTATTTGCAAATCTTCATTTCAATTTGCTACATGAATATTCTGGTTATTCTTCAGTATTAATGGGCTAACTACACATTACCTAGAAGTATAGTTTAAGTACTGCCTCCAAAAATTGCTGCTACAACTGTCAGTTTACCTGTTGCCATAACTTACTCATTCAACAATTCTTGGAAACCTACAAGTCACAAAAGAAAAAAGAACGCCTCTCCCCCCTCCCCAATATCCCACAAAACCCAGAAAGTAGTTTCATTGTTGAAAACACATCCCCTCCAAACATATGTTTTGAAGTTGGATGCTACGTCTCTGACTCAGGCAACTACTGTAAGCAGAACGTCAGTGGCACAGATGAAGTACAGTTTATGTTTTAGTAATTTGTGCTATGTAACTGCAGTAGAATGATAATACTGCCTATGCCATACTGCCGTGAACCCAAAGATTTTATTACCTATCTCTTTAGACACAAACATCATATCTTCTACCTTGAATATAAAAAATACAGCCTATGTTCTTCCCTTCTCCTATCCTCCCAATGAACCAGAACCCCTCTCAAAAGACAACCAACAAAACCAGTTAAACAGAACCATGAAAGCCATTATTTTCATCTTAATGCCTCCCTCACTTATGACCCAGAAAACTGAATTTTTGCTTGACAGAAGACTCTACAATAACATCGTAAAGATTTTTTTATATGCTGCCAAAACATATTTTTCAGAAAAATACCAGTGGTAGTGGGGTTTATTCTATCATATTTCCTGAATGGAGAATGGAAAATATCACTAGCTGGAATATCTGTTAGTGACCTGAAAGGAGGTCAGGAAAGAGCAGAACAGTAAAGAGTGGAAAATAACCCAATTTTGTCCTATTTAACATTAAAAAGCAAAAGCTTCTCTGTTGAGAGAGGACACTGCCTACAGCCTAGCTTTCCTTTCCGTGACACTGAACTTTGTCGAAGAGCAGGATGCAGATTGTTTTACCACCTAACACCCAGGGGCTCAGGGAGGTTTGAGACTCTTCCTTGGGCTAGACGCCATGAAAACGTGTAAATGACAATCCCTGCTCAGGAGAGCTTACAATCTAAGAAAGCAAAATGACATACAGGAGTATGGAAAAATACAGCTAAACACAAACAAACTTTGTATACATATATACATTTACATTTATAAAAGCTATTAAAATAGCACCACTGTTTCTACCTGCCCCTCTGCCTAGCCATCATTACTTAGAGGATTGCTTAACAGGGATCATAGGGGAAGTGGGTCTTTAGGAGAGATTTCAAGGAGAAGGTAGTGGCCTTATGAATCAGTTCAGGGAGGGCACTCCATGCATACGGGACAGCGTGGAAGATGTTATATTGAAAACTTAAAATTGTGCAGAGCAGCATTTCTCCAGGTCAAAAGTTCAAGTGTTGTGTGCAAGATCCCTGTTTCCTGAGACAGAGACAGTGTGGTTATGGGAGTCACATTTGGCCATTAAAAAGACAAGTGAAATCACTAACGTAGGACTACACTGAGGATATGTTACTGGCCATATGTTCTCTGTGGCCACCAGTTAGCACAGTAACTGTGAGGAGATGATATGGAAGGGTTTGGAAAAGAGTTGGATACAAAGAAGGAAAAAAAGGCAAGATGAAGGAAAGGAGACAAAAGGAAGAAATGTGGGGAATATTTTCAAATGTAGTCTTCTGTTGGAGTTCTTAGTGTGTTTGCAATTTATTAACTAAATAACTAAAAAACATATACAATAATCAATGTACATTTGACACCATAAAATAAACTGGACCATATGCCAACATTTACGTTATGTTATTATCCTTCACTATGGAAAGGTGAAAACAGGTTAAACAAGAGACAAAATGCTTCCCCTTACCCTTCTTCTTCCGTACTGAAGCTTGGAAATAGAAAGGGAATGAACTGTGAATCAATTCTGAAGGTAATTTTTATATGCTAAATCCTTGTCTGTCATTTTGAGCACAAACATTTTTCTTCCACCTAAGAAGTTAGTCTCTCCCTGCCAGCCTCTACTATGCATGTATCTATCAAACCACAGCAGATAAACAGCTTGGCAAAAGCACAGTTTATCAGGGTTTATACCCTAACTATAAGAAATTGCTCCCCTGCAGATATTAGGGATACATGTACAAATTTTTTTTTTTTTTTCTGAATTCTTTTTTAAAAACAGTAATTGGGGCAATTTGTTGATACCAGGGCTTTCAAATTATGATAATGGGCATTTTTCAAATCTTTGTAGATTGAAGTGGAAAGGAATCATTAGCACATGTTATCTGCCATATTTTGGATTAACTCGTCTGAAAGAGAACAACTGAGATGGTCTGCCCAATATTATAGAGAACAGAGTAGCTACAAACATGTCAATAAAACTGTAAGTAGAGTTCAGAGCCAGGCAACGGAAGTGACCGTAAAGACTGGAAGATGTATAAATTATTTTTTTAAAAAAATGATGTTGTTTATCTTAGGAGAAACTACAAAATTACGAATTAGGAGAAATTATGAAAATACATACTCTAAGGGAAAACAAATGGGGATTTTCTATTTATCTTTTTCTTCTATTACATAACAAGGGACATTCAATAAAATTAAAGGCATCACATTAAAAACCAATAAAAAGGAAATACATTTGTACACAGCACATAATTAGCCTCTGGAATTCTTTGCCACAAGACATTATTGAGACCATGAGTTTCTTCAGTTCAGCAAAAAGATTACACATATATATTGATGAGAACATCCACAGTGTTCATCTATATATAATTCCTATTTAGTTTGCACATATATGTTATGAAACAAATGCTTATTCATTAGATAGTTTAATGGATATAAAAATGTGGGTGTTCTCATAGTTCATACAGATGTCCAATATATACACATATACATATAAAGATATGTAAATTATATATAAATACACACATACAATCTGTGTTTTATGTCAGAAGACAACTTTTAACTGATGATAGCAAGAACATGTTCTCTTTGGAAGCTTATTCAGCTGTTGTGCAATTTAAGAATTCTTGTTCCTTCTGATAACAGCCCTTTTACAGGACAAATATTAAAATAAGTAGACCTCAGATGTACTTTATAACAGAAGTCATATTTTTTGCTAGGGTGGCAAATGTTCAGAGTATCATGCAACTGGTATTTACAGTCTTGTTTAGGAAGGAGACAAATTTCTGCCATGCTCTAGTATTACTACAGCTTTATTAGGGGACATACACTTCTGGAACAGGATTCAGGACTATTCTTCAGAATAGTAAAGTCTTGTCACTGTAATATTTGGCCAATCTGGATAAACATATGGATGGGAAACATCCTTAAAGATTGAAGTATGTCCCATGGCTGCTAGTGACAAGAGTTGCAGTGGTTTCTGCCAGCCGATGAGAACAAATAGCAGATCAAGTACTACAACCTGAACAGGGGGGTGAGAAAGCTAAAATATGAAGGTCTTCACTGCAGAGGTGATGTTACTATTAATAAGCTATTTTACCCTAGAAAAGAGTGCTGCTTCTCTCTGCTTTAAGAACAGTATCTGCTACGTAATATTGAAAAGTAAGAGAAGTAGAAGAATATCCTTAGCTTGAAAGTGATTTGCAGAAGGGGATAATGAAGGGGGAAAAACGGTGCCTAAGTATTTCTGTCCCCTTGGGAAAGTTTGTTGATAAGCCAGTAAAGTTTTATAACCTCTTAGCACTCCATGAAAGGAAAACAAATCAAAACACTCCGACCCAAAAGTGGCTCCAGAAATAATGTTTTACATTTTAATCCTGGAAGAAAAATTATGGAGCATTCACAAACTGTTGAAACCTTTAGTCAAGCTCCTAAACTTCCTGGCACAGAAAAATCTAATTTTCTGAGATCAGACTGTTTTATTTTGGTCTTCATTTGGTTGTTATACCATAGAGAAGACAGTAACCACTTCAGCACCCATTTGTTGGTAAGAAATCCCACTGAAGCTATAATACTTGACTCACTAAAGGATGGATGGAGTCCATCTGCCCCAGAAAACATTGACTTCCAGGGGAAAAAAAAAAAAAAAAAAAGGGGGACAAAAGGTTTTGTCATGCCAGTTGGCCTTCATATGAGGCCATGCCAGAAAAAAAAAAAAGAAGATTATAAAATGTAAGTATTTAAATCAACGTAGGGTTACATGGACAAATGGTTTGTATGATAGACTCTATTACTCTGCAATGGGGGTCATGGTTTGTTTTTACACCCAATTATCACTTGCTAAACATAGTTTTAGTGTAATAGCCATATACAAATAAGCACCGGGCTTTTCTCTTGGAATATATAGTCCATTCATAACATATTTATTAGTCTAACTGCAGACATTCTACTTCTTAATGACCTAACAGAGTAAAATCAGGAAGAAAAGAACTATTCTCTTCCTCACTTCTAGAAAATAAATCAAAATTCCCAAAGAATTATACGTATCTAGAATAGAGACGATCAAGCAAAGGAATCTACAATCACATTTCTTAAAATTAGCAAATAAAAGACTGAATGCTCAATACTTTTTTATTACCAATAGTGAGAAGAATTAAGTTTATATCATGCACAGAAGTCAAAGTGATATCATAATATGCACTTTTTCAGATCAGAATCTAATGAAAACAAGTTGAAGTTGAAGCTGCTTTAACACTGTCAGCTTTTTAACAACAGCTTCTGGCAGCTTACCTTTATCCACTAATGAGAGGCCACAGAAATTTAAAATAAAACAATATTAGATGAACTGAAAATGTAGAAAGCAAAGCTAACAAAATATAATACGGCATTACTTTTTAGTAGATGTGCCAAACTTTGATGATGCATAAAATGTATCAACATTCTCTTGCGTAGCAGTAAAGACACAAGTTTAAACAAAAATTATTCATGCAAATCATGCATATTTGAACTCTCCAAAGATGCAGCATTCTTAAAACCTCTTCTGTTCTATATACTGTATACAGTGCAGTTCCTTTTAGTCAATTTAACTTATATATACGTATATATATATTTTTTTTTTTTTACATTTCTATTACGCCAGCATGCTTGTCAAAAAACACTTTCTTACCTAGCTCTTCAAGCTCTGAGGTCATTGACTTAGACCGCAAGGTCAGTGCAGTGGTTGGAGCTCGCTTAGGAGGTGGTGGGGCTTTGCATTAAACAGAAGGATATACAGTGTAAGTAAATACACAACTCTAAAACACTATATTCACATACACAATTTTGTATTTATTTAAAAGAATACGCTAGATTAAACAAGGTAATAATAAAGACATAAATGTGGAAGAAAAAACCCTGAGATGCTCTTCATGTACTGAATTTCTATACTGTTTCTACTTTTAGCGTAGATTGTTTGACATATCAGCAAGCTTTTATGTAACAAGATACATAGAAACATTTAAAGCTAAATAACTGTGCACTTCTATTTTTCAGTAGGAAAAAGACTTTCTAGAGAAAGTGCCTCACAGCAGTTGTGCCCCTCCTTCTAAGAAATGTACATAGCTAAAAATCTCCTGGAGACCAGCCAATCTCTGCCAGATTAATTTCATCTTTGAAGAAACTGTTAGATCTGAGAAATACAAGAAAGAAGATTCAACTTTATCTTAATAGTTATGGTGAGAGTAGGGAAAACAGGTGATCCTCAGAATAAATAAGATCTTAAAATATCAAGGCAATCATCTAGCACAGAAACTAAAATCTAGCATGTGTTTTAGTATCCTGATAACAAATGTTTCTGGTGGTCAGAAAGGAACATAACATCAGAAAAGATTATGCCAGTGTTGGTAGGAAAGTTGGAGATTTCCAGTAAACAGAAAGGGCTCTAGGACACCAGGAAAAATTAAGGATTCTTAAGTGTTTTGGTCAATACTATACATCAGGCTACACCATTTTGAGAAGAGGTAGCAAAGCAGTTTGATGGCAAGAAAGAGTGATGGAGGAAAGAAGTAGACAACGTTCTTCCTGTATCACCTATAGCCACTATGTCAGTGTCATCCTTTCCCTGTTAAGCTCCATCATCTTCTTACAGAGGCTCGAATGACAGTATGTCACGAGAAAGTAAAAATATAGCTCAGGTTCAGTGCCAGATATGAGGCTGTGTAAGTACTGCACATATCAACTCCAGTCTGAGGTCTGCCCTTGCCCAACAAGAGAAGTGACAACAAATCTGTGAGGGAAACTGCACAAAAGACTGGATTGTTAAATGAGGCTGGCTGTCTAACACTGGCTTCCCCATAAAGGAGACTGATGGCAAGAAAATCCTTCCACACAAATCCCAAGGTACAATGGCAACCATCAGGTAACAAGAAAGGCTACCAACTTGCATCAAAAAAGGACAAAATGTAAAAGTTAAATTTTTTGGCAAATGACACATTATCAATAGAAGGCTCTGGAATGACGACAAAGACCTGGCTTTGTTTTTGTAGAAGCAACTTCCCTGTGGGTGGTATACAACAGCACTTTTATTTAAGGCCAATATGACACATCTCAAAAGACAGAGGTGAAAGGTTTGTTTAAAATGTGTGAATAGTAGTTCTATCAAGCTAAAAATAATGCAGGACCATGTTTGGACATGATTTACTGTAATATAGCCCTTTTTCCCCCCAAGGTGCCACTTTTTTTTTTTTTTCCCCCCTAAAAAATGAGCAGTAGATGTCAAGAACACTCCCAGTGTACACAGGAAGTTTTACTCATGGACAAAGAGGGAGCTCTCGGGTGCCAGCTTCTCGCTCGCTCTTGTCTTGAAGAGCCAGGTGGCTGTGAGTGACAGTTCAAGAAACTGGTGGGAGGAACAGGAATTTTCAAAAATGTGTTACTGCTGTATTGAACACTAGTTAGCAGCAGCAATCTTTTCTGCTTAATGATAATTATGAGGGCCTAATGACTTCCCAGAGTAGCTGTTACCTGAGCAAACTCAGGGTTATCTAAGGTGAAGGAAATAGTGCAAAATCCTCTTACTTTGTGAAGTCTTGGTGGTGTTTTTTTGGGTCGATGGGTGGGAAGCACTGAAATTCTTAAGGTAGTAGCCCAATCTTATGATATAGGTTAACCCATAATCTCCATTAAAATTGATATTAAAAAACCCCAACCCTAGGCTGGAAAAAAAAAACTTGTCCTGTTCATACCTGGACAATTCTTTCCCAAAGTATTTGTGGCACATGATGCTACACTAGCCTTCCTTGGAGTAGCTGCTTTCTTGCTAGCAGCCATGTGGCAAAAAAAAAGCTGCTGTGCATGTTTTCTACTTATGGGAGAAGGAGGGATTTTGCTTGGCTGGAACAACTCCTCTACTCTGAATTCATCTAGAGGAATCTTCCCATTAAAATGTACTTTTTTTCTACCAGAACTTCAGTCTAAACATATTGCTTACTTTTCTTCTTCTTACAGAGGTCCTTTCTAAAATACGTGTTTTGCAAAATCATAAGTTCTCAATGATTTCAAGAGAAGTCAAACTAACATCATCTCAAGTACACTTAGAATTAATCAATAAAAGATAATCTGTTCTGTGCACTTTTTCTCTCTCACTACTGCAAGAAATTTTACTACAGGATCTTCAAACATATAAATCTATAAAGATTCATAAAGATGAAATTTCATGGCAAGCATAACAAGAGATATTACCCTTTTTTGTCACATATTAATGCATAAGTCAACAGAATTAAATTACTCCACATTAAATAAGAGTATTGCAAATTTTAAAAGTGAAGTCTATAAAACAGAATTTATAAAACAGTAATTTCGCATCTTTACTCTGTTTTCTGTGGAGCAAGACCAAAAGGATTCCATTAGGAAAAAAGAAAAATGTACCTTTCTTTCTAGCTGTGTCATCTGGATCAAGATTCCTGGTTACTGTGACAACCTTAAGAACTAGGTGATTGCCCCCTTGTCGAATCATGTTCACCACCTGCCTGTGGCCAACTTTCACTACATTCTCATTATTAACCTGCAAAGAAAGAAAATAGTCTTTTAGATCAAAACGCAGAAAACTGTTCTTTCAGTTTTAAAAACAGGAAGTGGAAAGAACAGGAAGACACAGAATTTCCAATTACTGTCTTTTAATAAAAATATGTATTTAAGAAACAGCGTATAGCTGACATGACAACAGGAAAACAAAGCTAGCTCTTCATGAAATATGCAACTAATTTCCTTATAATTACCAGTTTAAAAAAAGTTAATGAGTTCAACCAAATCTTTCCCTTCAAATACTTTATTTCCAACAATTAGTGTGCTACAACTCTGCATTTCATACACTAAAAGTATTTTCTTAAATGATAGTCATTTTTCATGGCTGTATTACCCACAGATGTTTATACGCATTTTATGCTCTCTAACATAACCAATGAGATATTAAGAAGCTTTTCTTTTCAGATCATCCAGGATCAAAGATTTTCACTCCTGAAGTAAACTCTCATGTTCAAGAGACATTCTTTTATTATATGCACTCTCCTCATTTCCCAGCATTTTCCTTCTGCAAGTTTCTGAAAGGATCTAATTTCCTGGAAGCAAAGGCAACAGGGCTATGGCAGTCTAAGAGTCTTCATGGAAAAACATGAGTTAACTATATGAAACCCTGACCAGCTATTGTGGTCATGCCAATTAAACTTTAAACTGCACTGCAACATTAAACTTTAAAATGTATAGTCTCTGGGTAAATCCTAGTGCTACATCATCATTTTTGCTGTGTACATATTTCTATAATGTTAATTAATAGATATAGAAGAAAGCATAGGTGTAAAAACTGTAAATAAACATGGATAAAAGTAATTTATTTATTCATTCAACCTACAAGAAGTCACTGAAAGTTATCTGAAATCTGAATGATAGCAGCATATAAGACTGAAGTGCTGCATGTGCTATATGAACATAAAAGATATTGAGGAATGGAATCAGTAAAGAAGAGATGCTGCCAGAATACATGCTGGGAAATTGATCTCTATCCAAAATTCAGCTGACTCAGTCATATTTCACTGAGATCACTCAGGGCCTTCCAAAATGAACAGTCATTTTCGAAGTGAGTGTTTTTAGCCATCTCTATTTATTCTGACAGGCTGGGCATCTCACACTCTAAAGAATTAACAGTTTAAAGCAAAATCTCTCATTAAATATTGCCATTTAGCAGAAAAACATGCACAAGCAGACCCACTCCAACTTGAAATCGTTTTTCCATCCATTGTGTCAAGGGGAAATCTTGCCTTTTGTCAGGCTTTAGCTGAGACAAAATACATTATGATGAAATAACATCTCGGTAAACCATATTTTTAATACAATGCTGCAGTCAGAAGTCTCAAAGTATGGTCCGTATGCTATGTCTATAAGCTTGAGATGCTTTTTGAGACGCTTTTTTAGTTTCATATACAATGATGTAGGTGTAACGCACGCTGAACATCCAGACCTGTTGAGCAGGCAAATATGAAATTCTTTCATTCTGTAGGTGGAGGATATAAAAGGATACCGATATGAATAGGACTGTTGCTGTTTTGTTTTATTTTACACCTTCTTAGCATCTGGTATTTAATTCCAAGTTAGGGTATTTACTTAGCTGGACCAATGGCATCTAAATTTAATCTGTCTAAAACATTTTAGCAAATGGATTTATCCGTTTACTTCCGAATTCCTTCCAGTATTAAAACTTCAACCAGGTAATTCTTTTCCACAGTGAAAAAGTTCACGTAATTAAGAACTACAGAATGCATCTACCCTATCTTTACTGGAATTAAATTTTAAGGTTGGAAGCCAGTCTGGATTACAATATAACTCCTAATGCTGTAAAAAAAGAGAGACCTCCGAATAAATTAAAAGTTAATATTAATCAAACACATGCACACTTCACTAGTGTAAAGTGATAAATGTGTAAAATGATAAACAGCTTATGCAGCATACCATCTGTTCGCATCGTTATGTGCAATGATATTTAACATTTAGAGCAAGAGCAAATATAAACGACACATTTTTTAAAGCTGCCTCAGAAACAGAACTTGTAAATGACTGTTTATAGCAGTTTTGTTTAAACGGCACAGTTACAAAAGCTGGTATCAGAAAGATTTATGTTGCAAAAATAAAAATATTGATAGGAGTTCTGAAGGTTATTCAACTCAAAGAGTTTACAGAAATACTTGATAACAAAAGAATCATGAAATCAGCAGGGTAAAACTGTAGCATGATTACAAAGCAATAACATTGGAATTGTCAATAGCTTATATAAGGAACTAGGATTTCAGTGACAGGCTCTCTATTTCTTTTAACCTTCTTCAATATTTCATATATAAGCCAAATGACTGTAGAAATGGTCATTAAACAGTAAGACACCAGAGTTCTAGCAGACTTATTTGATAGTTCTAGTCTGATATTATTCAGCAAAACTTTTTCAAGTGTGAATAATTTGATGAGGCTGTTTCTCTGCTTCCACTTCAAGCTTTGGCAGTGGGGACATGACTACTGCATCTCATCTAGGCTTTGTAAACAAGCTGAAGAAGGCAGATTTTTATAATCAGTAAAACAGATTATCTATTTCACCTGTGCCGGTACATTTAATAATCACATGTGTACTTACTATTAAATGTGAACACATTCTTTGAAACATTAAAAAAACATTTTTGCTTTTAGTGGCAAAGCGTTTAGAAGGATGTTCTATAAACAGTCAAACTAGCAAAGTTGGTTTGCAGGCACAAATTTGTGTCTCTCCCTCTTCTTCAATCCAACCTTTCAGCACATTTTCTGTAATCTTTCATTGCAAAATCTTAAGTCTTTCTTTTCCTTTGGCTCTTCCCCAAAACTTTCCTGCACAGAACTTTCTTTCCCATGTCCTTCATAAATAGGTGAAAATAGATAATGGAAATAGATCTGTGCTATGCCTGGTTCCATGCTATGTCAATGGCAAGCAGTCATCCAACAAGCCAAATGCAGGGAAAACTGTCCCTTGGGACAGCCAACAGTTTCAATAACTCTCCTCTATCCATTCCCGACTCTTAGGAAAAACCTCAGAACTTAATATTCTTGAAATTCATACTTTATTATCATTTGGTTAAAACTGGGCAGTGGGATGGAAGTTACTTTGAGCCCTTTGAGAGAATTTGAGAAATAATTTACAAAATAATATATCTCGCAGACCTAATGTCTTTAAAAAACAGGCTGAACTGGAAGCCTGAGGCATCTCAAGCTGAACTTATTTTTTGGGTATGTATGAAATGTTCCTGAAGTGTTTAAAAGGAAGAAGATCTTTGTGAATATCAAGATTTTTCAACTATATGTCTCAGTACTTTTCCACCCTGTATAATCAATGTATACAGGGTTTTTTAGAGCAGTACAATGTTACAAGGCAGGGAAATTACGACTTGAAGCAAGCTGGAGACAGAAATGAGAAAAATTCATAGCAGACACATTTTCCAGATAAAATAATTTGCTAGTAGTGTGCAATGCATTGTACTTCAATATCTTGAAGTATCGTCAGCCACATAGCTTATACCACCGTTTTTCACACACTTCGTATAACACAACCCTATGTCAACCACTTGATGAAAAGGATGAAATGACACTGAAGAGAGTCAGAGAGAGCAGATGACAGACAGTGCTACCTAGCCTTCACCCCAAGCAATGGCACCATTACTAGTTAGTTTACAGCTAGAGGCAGCTAACACAAAAGAAATGCAAGCAAAGCAATGCTCATGCATTGGTCAGTATTTAGAGGACATATGGATGGACTGCTTTGCAGCTATAATTGGAGGTACACGCAGCTGGTTAATCCAGACACTTCTGGATACATTTAAGACACTAAATAATCATACATGACAGCAAACAATACTTGCCATCACCCCTGCATAGTTAAGAAGTTTCACTCCTTTCTCCTAGCTCGTGGAATCAGTTATTCACGTAGTTGTCATTTCACGGCTTCCTACAGCAATGCGATATACTTGAGCATGAAACATTCAGTTCTCCAAGACAAAAAGCAGTGTGCTGTGTCTCCTCTCCAACCCCCACCACTGCGACCAGAGCAGACAGGTCGCTGCTCCCCCCAATACCCTCTCGGAGATCTGAAAGCGCTTTGGGGCTTGCATTCAATGTGCTTCACAGCGAGGACTCGTGCTGCTTAAAGCTCCAAACCAGAGACTGTGACCAACGACGATGTTCCTCTTGCACAAGAGCTTTGAACACCAACGATGAAGAGTTCTCTCTCCAACATGGCCATCCTCTCAAGAGATGATTCAAAAATACGGAGTAAACCAGTGACAAATAACTGACAGTCATAAATCTCATTGTCTTTAGTATCCAGGTCCACCACTGTACCTTTATCTTACTGAGTGTTTATACATAGCAACATCTAAACCCCACAAAACCCAATAAAAATCATGAAACTTTATTCAAGAATAAATAATGATGTGGTCTCCAAGAGCAAATATCAATCAGGTAATCAATTTTTTTTCTGTGTGAAATATTCCCTCTGTATAAAAGATGATATATGAACACCGATGACATCAATAAAATTCTCCTGAATTTTACAAAGAAAAACATGCTCCTGTTTGGGCAACCTTATAATCCTGATAATATCAGTGACAAGCGCCCAGGACTGAGAATGACTACAGCTTATGAAATGGAAGAAATTTAGAAGCGGATAGGATACAGTTGAAATTGATTTACAGTGAATATGAATGGAAGGCAGTAAAGTCATTTGATGGGTGATTTCAAGAGATGTACTCTAGCTGGAAAGGCTACCACAACAGAAGGCATGAAGCCAGGAGCAAAGGAGGAAGGCAGAAGCAGCGTTTAACATAAGATGATTGCTAGGAGCACAAAGGAGAGGAAGCAGGTATCTTCTCTCCTGGTCTATTTTTACAGAGACATTTTAGCTAATCTCAAAGGCAGCAAAGAGCTTATATATGATGCAGTAAGAGAGAGGACTACAGCAAGATGCAAGCCAGTGTAGCCACAGATGCTGCTGAGAGGCACAGA